ACCAGGGTTCCGACAGATCCGACAAACGTCCTCTTCTTCTTCGTCGTCATCGAACCTACTGGCCAAAGAATTCAAATCTTTACGTGTAACCTGCTCCGTCGACAACCCCGAGGAAGAAGATGCAGACGGCGATGAAGACGAATTGATCGCATCGGCGGAGGAGCGTTCCGCCGGAGAAATTCCACCACCGCCACCACCGTTCGACGCCGGCACCGCCGTTGCGATCTCCATCAACGATTGAACTCACGAGGGATTGATTTGTACCTCCTAGGGTTTTTCTTGAAATCGTGACGATGTGATGGAGCTGTGGTTTGGTCCAAGAAGAGGATCAACAAAATCGTGGACCAAGGACGTCGGTTTATCTTTTATTATTCCTATTTTATCCCTCAAAATTTAGTTATACGCGTCTTTTTTTTCAATAATATTTCTTTGTTTCATTTTATTTGAGTCTCGTATTAAAAATTCATTTTAGTAAATTAAGACTGTTATTTTCTCATAATAATTTTAATATAAAATAATACTATATTTTTAATAGTTTGATTATGTTTTTTAAAAATATGTTAAAATTAATCAAGTAATATAAAATGAAGAAAATACATGTTTTTAGAAAAATTTCTAATAAACTTTTAGTTGATAAAAAAGAGGAGTTTGAGATATAACGCGGCAGAAAGCGATTGATCAAATTGCGTTGGAAGGGTGAAATGTGGGACCCTATGAAATGCATATTTAACATTAGATTTATTTGATTAATTTAAACGTGGATTTCTAGAAACAATCTGGAATATTCATTAAAAAATTATAAAGCAAAGGAACATTTCAACCGTATGTGAAATTCTGTTTTTAATTTGTTTTAAAAAAAGTAATTAAATTTTGGATGATAATTTTGTAGTGTTATACAAATGTTATTTTATGTTTCAGTTGCAAATTTAAAAAAAAGTACAGTTGCAAAAATACTATTATATAATATATCATATGGTTGTTGAAACCAAGATTGGTAATTACTCTCACCGTTCATTTTTTACTTGTCATTTATTTTTGAAATAACTTTTTATTTTTATTTGTCACTTTTAACATATCAATAAAAAATATTTTTTTTTTTTCATGTTTTACCCCTAACAATCAATACTATTCTTCATTAATTAATAGGGATATTACGATAAAGATCTAATACTAAATATTAATTAATAGGGATATCTTTTTTCATTTTTAAAGATTTTTATACTAGTTAATAGGGGATCCGGCTCTCCTCCATTTCGTCAAGTGCACATCTAAATGAGAAACATGTGTCTTATTTAAATTTTAAAGGTCAAGATTATACTACATTAACAAATATTATACCCATAAGTCAATCAATTTTGGAAAACTACTCCCTAAATGTGGTAAGAACAATATATTCTCTATAAATTTTAATATTCATTAATTTCATTTTATATTTTTATATTGTTGTGATATCATTATATACTGATTTAGTATCAATTTTAATATTCATTAATTTCATTTTATATTGTTGTGGTATCATTATATACTGATTTAGTATCAATTAAGCGAAATTATCAATCTTAATGATATCAATACAATATATTATACTGATTTAGTATAAGTTAAACGAAATTAGTGGAGGGTATACAATATATTTAGTGGGGTATGAATGTAAAAGGATATATGTTTGTAATTTTTTCTTTGGGGTATTTGCTTAATTTCACCTTTAAAATTCAAATATAAAACTACTAAAACCATGATAGTTTAGAAAGGTTTTGATCCATTATTTTTATAAATTATATAAGACAAGTATGAGAGTTTTTCATCAGAAAAATTCTATTTACAGATTAGAGTAATACTAACTCAAATGAATGAGGACTGTTAATTATTCAAAATTTATTATTCAGGTCCCTCTTTTGATTTTCATTGGGCCAATACTTTGGGCCTCATCCCGCAATCTAAACAGGCCATAACTTTGTCTGTCTAACTTGAACAGCAGTTTTTGGGCCCAATCATTACTAACTTATGGTCTATTTTCAATTTAGTACAAATTATACTCTACCAAACTAAGATCTGCTTGGATTGGATATTTGGTAAATGAGGCTAATCAAGATGTCATTTCCCATTATTGAAGAAGATCACATAGCAAGAAGAGGGCCTATACTTGATTCAAAAATTATTATTTTTATTTATTTGATGAATTGTTAACATATATAGTTTAAATCAAAATTATTGGATTTGATTGACTCAAGTCATCAATACTTTATTATTGAACATCTATACAACAACATAACCAATGTATTCTACTCTGGCACGTTTTTAATATATGCAGTCACCTCAATAAGCCATAAAACCTCATTTATTTTTCTATTTGAAGTTGATGTATAAAATTAAAAGAGATAACATACTTTATATGGTTAACTTAACTATCTATGAAATATCCTGACAAGTTTAAGGGATTGACTATGCAGTCAAAAATATTTGTGAATTATTTTTTATTTTAAATAATTTGCATTGGGCCAAACTTTTGGGCCGCTGCCTTCAATTTAGGAGGGCCATTAGTTCTGTCTCTGTCTAACTTCCATACCAGTAATTGGACCCAATGATGACAATTTATGGTCTATTTTCATTGTAGTACAAAATCCTACTCTACCAAACTTAGAAAACGAAATGTGGTTGGACATTTAGCTATTCAACATGTCATTTCCCATTATTATTAAGATAATAAAGAAGATTAGGTAGCAAGAGGACCCATAACAGATTTGATTTACTGGTTCTAAGTTTGTTATTCATACTTATTAGTGCTTTTTAAAAAAATTATAAAGAGTGTTTGAGTCAAAATTATTGAATTCAGATGAATCTATAAAATACATATTAAAAAATTATATTTATAGGGTGATCAACAATTATATCGATCAAACTGATAATTTAGTACAGAGCATCTATTTGTAATTCAACTTAACCTTATGTCACAAGAATACAAGTATGGTGATGTGTTGATGATGACTTCATTGACTTTGTGCATTGCAAATTGGCGTACTCAATTTTTGGCAATTCCTTATTGCAAAAGCTTGGAGAAGTGAAAGCAACACCAATATTAAGTATGTTTTGGTGGGAGAAAATATTTTCATACTTCTTTTCATTTTCAATAATTAGTTGGTTAAAATGTTTGATATTTTACTCTATGAAAAAAAATTCTTTAAAAAATAAGAAAAAACGATCTTTCAAGTAAGAGCTAGGAAAAATAAGTTTTATAAATGACATTTCAAACCTATTTTTTTTTCATTTCCACACTCCAATCACCCCAACCCCCATTGACAACAACCCCACTACGACACCCCTTACCTCTCATTTCCCTGCCTCATATTTTTTTAGATTACATATAAATGTAATTGAGATAATATATTTTGCTTACTTATCAAACACCAACAAATAAGTGGTGCGAAACACACCCTAAGAAAACAAATTGCTAGAGGATGGTTAACTACTTATTACCTATCTTATTTAGGATATAATTGAAAAGTTAAAGAAGAAAATCTATTGTTTTGTTCGTGATTACATCACGTGCTTTATATACTAGTTGTGGTGTGTTACCTAAAGAGGGAATAAAATGGTATCGTTTTAAGGCAATGCACGTGAATTTGATCATTCCTCATTTGGTTGCTTCATTATTTGCATAGAAATTGATTACAAATTAATTAATATCTCAACAATTAAAATTTCACTGAGCATATATGAAATTAATTAAAAAATGATGCATGATAAAAGCAAAAGTAGCAATTATCCTAACAATTAAACAAATATAGTTAGTGTAGTTGGTGCACTAAGTGATGATTGGCTCTCCTCATAAGTCATAACCCACTAAGGTAAGTGATACTTTTCCTATATTATAATTAACCAAATAGAATAACTATGATTAAAAGCTAAAATTAATAAAGATCAAAGTAACACAAGGGACGAGGAAAAAGAGAAAATCATGATCTCCAATTTGATCCCTTTACTAAGAAAAAGGGTCCACAAAATGTTATTTTTCTAAACAAAGGCAAGACAAGATGCTTCTTTTATTTTTAGCCTTTAAATACAAAGGGAAATAATATAGAATATAGTATTAACATATAGGGACAAAATTATTATGCAACAATCAATTATCTTGACCTCTATTTATGTCACAAACTACTCAATATGTAAAGAATTAAAAGTGAAAATAGATTGCCTATTTTGCCTCCCAGGCTTATTACTGATGGGAATTGTAAAGTGTTACTCGTTAAAGGTTAAGTATTACAAAATTATATTTACTGCTTAAATGATCCTCAAAATTAACTAGATAAAAAGATGTTGAATGACTATTTTCACAAATTCTCACCAAGTATAGTTGTGTTTTCAACACTTCTCTCGATTTTTTATTAAGAGTCACATGTTTTTACAAGAGTTTGAGACCGCTAGCTAAATTTAATTAGTCAAGTAGATGAGTATTTTTAAGACCGTTAATAATTTAGGGAAGTCGAATTTAGAAAAGTTTTCAATACTTGTCTCTATAGAAAAATTAGTAAATAATGTGAGAATTTGTTTCTTATCGTGTATTTTTTTGATAAGTTGTATGTTACGAAAGAATTAAAAGATCTTGTGATAGTATCAGGAGCAACAAAATAAAAGTAGAATTTATGAGTGTAGTTGTCATGTAAGGTTAATATTGAATGGAGAAATTAGTACAGTAGTGTATATGCGTTGCATGTCTTGAAAGAGTAACATTATTAGAGAGCAACAACTGTTGTTTGTTAAAATGGTTCCATACATGGCCCCTCCAATTAAAACTTTATCTCACTCTACTTTTTAACCCTTGTGCCAAAGTGAAGGTGACCCACATATATACTGTATTTGTTTCATTTCACTTCCCAAGTGTGTAAACTTGTCGGTGGAAATTTTTGTGCTTCCACTTTTTCACAGCTACTCTTTTTTTATTTATATATATATAAGTTTCTTCTTGTTTGTAGTGACTACGTTACTTTCAAGAATACTCTGTTGTTACATTATCAGTGACTGGTGCATGCTAGATTGAGCTTCTTGGTGAGTTTTGTTATTCTTCATTGTTACTCTCATTTGCATATTTTGTTCCCCTTTAAATGTTCTGTCCGTAGTTATGTTGAATTTTACAGTACGATTGCCTTTTGCTAAAACAAGATTATGAATTTTGAAAATTCCCCTGACAACCCACACCCAAAAAGGGGTGGGGTGGTGGTTGAAAATGGAAACTTGTTGCTCATACAAGATTATGAAACTTGTTGGAAATTCACATTTCTTATTTCTTTAAATGTTTATTTCTTGTTGTGTCCGTATTTATTATGGAACTGTAGAATGAATTTTACAGTAGGACTGCCTTTTATTCTCTGTTTTTTTCACTTTTGCTAAAACAAGATTATGAATTTGGGGGGTTAATGTTATGTTGAAAATTTCTCTCTACTCTGACAACCCACACCCAAAAAAGGGGGTTGGGGTGGGTGGTGGTTGAAAATGGAAACTTGTCACCTTGTGAAAATTGGGGTTGGGGGCATCGGAGAAAATGAGCTTGGACTGCCCTTGTTTTTCTTACTTGAGTAATTTTAACTTCCTGATTATTAAGAAAGTTACCTGGGCGGCTCAATATTATGGGTGGTCTAAAGCCGAACTTCAATGAATTGAACTAAATGCCCTTTAGTGTGAAACTTGCAAAAACTGATACTAGTAGTAATTTAGATTTATTTTTCTAATTGTTTGTCCATAGCCTTTTATAGTGCCCTCATAAATGAATAAAGAAGAAGCCAAAGGACTGAAATTCGATTATTTGTTTTTGTTTTTTATTCTGGAAATTCTTAAAAACATTTCATTACTGAATTTCATGGTGACAGTAAATCATGGACCAAAAGTCATGGTTATGGCCGAAGAAGCGATCTTCAGAGAAGACAATTGTTTCAACCACCAAATCTGATCATCCTGCTCAAGGAAATGGAATAGAGGTACTTAAACATTGTCTTGTAACCGTGAATAATTCGTAGTAAACTGCATCTGCATATTGTTGTACATGACTTTGTGGATAATTTTGACAATTTGCACGCCCTACGGGTAGGAAAAGAGGCTTAAGTTTTTCCCAATTGATTTCTGGGTTTTCTATAACATTGCTATTCCTTGGTCGATTTATTTGACGACGTTAACATTAGGAACCTAGCAAGATATTACTTAGTAGTATACTTTATATTATATGGAGTAGTAAGTATTATTTTAAGATCATCTGCAATACACATGATAGTTAATCATGGTTAAGTACTAATAATAGTAGTTGAAGCATATTTATCTTTAATGTGACAAAGGTCTTAGCTCTAATTACGTCTTAAAGTTCCAATGTAGTTGCTTTCATGCAAGTTCTTTAACGTGTAAATCCGTATTACCCTTGTTTTATACGCAAAAGTAGTAAGGTTTGATTCAATTTGCTTTTATGCTGGAAGAGGCAGACACCTCTACTATTGTATCATTCTATTAGACCACTTTGCTTAAAAACATTTTTGACTGTGTTCAGGAACAGACAGTTCCAAATGAAACCGAATATCTGGAGCAATCATTAAAAATCTTAGATGAGAAGTTAGCAACCGCGCTCAGTGAGTCTAATTCTAAAGATGAACAATTGATAAAGGCTGCAGAAATGGAACAAGAAGCTATTGCAGGTAACAACTTTGTTTCTTCGTTTTTCCAGTATTGTTCATGCACATTTTTCTCAGTTTACGTTCTCTCCGTTTCTCTTAAGCTTAAAGTTCAATTCTAAATGAACTAGTTTACTTCTAAGACATGAAACGCTATTTCAGGTCAGAAGAAAGCCGAAGCTGAAGTACTTTGCCTTAAAAAGGAACTCGATGAAGCGGTACACCAGAGAGAAGCTGCTAATGAAAGGATAATGCACTTGAACACAGCCCTGAAAGATCACATGCAGCAATTAGCTTCTCTCAGGGAAGATGACGAGCAAAAAATACGTGATGCTGAAATGAGGACATCAAAAGAATTTGAGAAGGCGCTCAAAAAGTTAGAGGAAAAATTAGCAGAAACAAATAAAAGGCATGCTAATTTGACTCTTGAGAATTGTCATCTGAATAAGGTCCTTCTTGTGAAAGGGCAGATAATTGAAGAACTAACCAAGAGCGGTGTACAGGCGGAAGCAGAGTTTAATGCACTAATGTCGAGGTTAGATTCTGTTGAGAAAGAAAATTCTTTCTTGAGGTACGAATTTCAGATGCTTGAGAGGGAGTTCCATATTCGGAATGAAGAGGTGGAATTCAGCCACCGCTCTTTGGACGCCTCACATAAGCAGCATCTTGAGAATGTGAAGAAAATTAGAAAATTGGAAGCAGATTGTCAAAGATTGCGTCTTCTAACTCGCAAGCGGCTTCCAGGTCAAGTTGCATTGTCAAAGGTTAAGAATGAAATTGAAATGCAAGAAAAAAATCAGACTGTCATTAGGAGGAGGAAGTCTGATCTTCCAACTGGAAGTTTAATTCCTAAGGACAGAGCCCCGGAAGGCCATCATGACATTCTCCGTAAAGAGATAAATTGTTTGGTCGAAAGTATGTGCAATCTGGAGGGAGAGAACAGAGTTTTGAAAGAATTGTTAGCTAGGAAAGAAGTTGAGATTCGCCAGGGTGGGCATCATCTTGGATTAGTTTCTTCTCTTAAGGGTTCCAAAGAGCTGGCCCTGGCTAGTCCACTATCATATGAAACTTCCTCAATATCAAGTTATGACACGAGCAAGAGAGATGAAAGTGTTTGCTCAAAAATGAATGGGGTTTCTGAGATGTGTCTGATGGATGATTTTGTTGAAATGGAGAAACTTGCAATAGTTGCTGTTGATTCTACAATAGGGAGTTCTTATCCTCCCTCAGATGCAAGTCTCACTTTATCAGACTCCTCGAGAATAGAAACACATGGAAATCAGACGGACTCAAATGGTAAGGAACTAGTTCCAGTGGGACCAGGTGATTCAAATGAAGCAATGGCGAAGAGATCCTCCAATTGGCTTCATGATATCTTGAAAATAATCATGGAGCAAAGCCGTGTCTCAAAAAAAGGCGCCAATGAGCTGATAGAGGACATTAGAGTTGCTTCATACAATGTAATCCCTCCACATACCTGGGCAGGTCATTCTGAACTGCTTCCCATCAGTGGTTACATTACTTGGAAATCTCCAGTGACATCTCCTAAGATGCAACGTTCAACAACCGAACTGGAGAAGACGCGTCCTATCCTCCAAGAAGAAAATGAAGGACTGAAAGCTGAGATGAACAGTATGAAGTCCTCAAACAATGATGTACAAGTCAAGCTACAGGTAGCGAGGAACAAGTGCGAAAACTTGGCAAGTGAACTTCAGCAATCACAACAAATTATTGAAGGCCTACAAGCTGAACTGGAAACAGCCAAAGAATCCAAAAGAATGATGGAGGATCTTATTGAAAATCAGAAATCAATCAATGATGATCTTGACACCCAGCTTAGTGTGACTAGAGTTAAACTAAATGAAACGCTTTCAAAGCTATCTTCTCTTCAAATAGAATTGGAAGATAGAAGTCACTGTTGCGAAGAGCTGGAAGGAACTTGTCTTGAGCTTCAACTCCAACTTGAAAGGTATGCATCACTTGTCACTTTGTATTCCTTAGTTAGTACTAGTTCTTTAAAGAATAAAGGGTCTAACTTCTCTAATATCTGATTGACAGTTTAACTGGCAAAACAATTTCTGTGGATGGTGTGAATCAAGAAAAAGGGCTCCAGCAAACTGTGAGTTCCTCTTCTGCCAATTTGAGTTTTTCTTTTGTGTCACTCTTGTCTAGTTACAACATCCATTCCGCCCTCCCCATCCCCGATAGGCAGCGATGACATTGTTTTCCTCTCCATGTTCTGTCATCTATATATGTGTGACCTCAACCCTAGTAAACTCTTAGTTCTTTAGCTGCCTTAACGGCTGAAGCATTTAGTGACCGAGTATTGGAACTTGTATGATATTGGGCATCCACTCAAAATAGATTTCAGTCAACTGTTGCATGCCGTAAGTAGCAGCACTGCTATGGATATATTATGCAAGATCAAGTAAGGGCTTAAAACTTAATTTGATTGCCAAAGGCCTAAAACTAGTGGTAGTATTTTAAGTGTTAAAGGGACTGCTATAATTTGTCGAACTTAATAACTAATTGCTAGCCCATGAATAAATCCGTGCTATATATGATTACAAATTGGTTGCATTAATACTATTTCCATACCTTATCAATGATACTTCCAATGAAAAGAATCACGGAGAATGCTATTTTGTACTTATCTACTGTGTCATGTAGAGAAATGATTGTTCAAATTGGCAGGGCTGGGAGATAAATGCTGCCTCTGCAAAGTTGGCTGAGTGTCAAGAGACTATAATGAACCTAGGAAAGCAAATTAAGGCCCTAGCTTTGCCTCCAACTGAAAATACAGTTGGTGACACTAATGCCAGCAGTAAGAAAATGAGGAAACACATGTCTTTACTCGATCGGATGCTTACTGAGGATGACGTGGAAAAGGAGAACCTTGACTCTCCCAACGCAGAAGAACCTCAAAGAACCATTGATACAGTTCTCGCGACGCAGAGCCCACAGCCTGAAGCTAATACTCCCAATATGGGAACTATGGTAATTTTGCCAAGCAAGAAGCCAGGGGTGAATTTTCTGAGGAAACTTTTGCTTAGGAAGAAGTATGGTAGAAGCAAGAAAAGAGCCTTTCCTTTAGCCATTGAAGCTTTCTAGTCGTGCAAGAATCGGGTTTTTACTTCTCAGTATGCAGTTTTTGGTTTGATTAACACATTATGTACATAGATATATGTATCTTTTTGTAAGGTATGCATCTGCTGCCTGGATATTGACTACTTCAGTTACTTACCTTCATGGATTTTTTTTAGTGTGCTCTGTATGTACTTATGTAATAAAAGCCTCTGATCATTTGCTTAATGTTGCAAGAACCTTTTTTAAGCCGAAGGTATATCGGAAACAACCTCTTTATTTCTGCGAGGTAGGGGTAAGGTTTGCATACACTCTTATTACCCTCCTCATACCCCACTTGTGGTATTACACTAGGTATGTCGTCGTCGTCGTTACTTAGTGTTGCAAGAGATAAAGTAAATCAATCACTTTGTAGAATCAAGAAGAGCAGAACAGCATTTGGAAGGAAGAAAAATGGAATACTCATAAAGAGGCCTCAATGAATGTGCCAATTCATTAGGAGTAATTTACAGTCCAATAATAGCAACAAAGAGAATGTCAGGAACTTCTGTCTCAACTTTTTTACAAGTAACTGTACCATTAAATTACATATCCCCTTCCTTTGTCTCACTTGATTGATTGATTTTTATGAGTAAATCACTAAGTTTTACCTAAAAAGATAACTATATATACCTTACTTCCCATTATAAGATGAATAAGGCAAACAATATAGTGTAACACATTAAACTACAATGATAGTGTAAGAAGAAAAAAAAAGTTCTTTACGCTGTCGATGTGTACAAGTTAAATCCTTTAATCTTTAGCAACAGCTTGAGCAGCTTCCTTCATTTCCAGTAAGGCATCCTGAAAACACTTGGCTAGAACTTTGGGATCTGGGATGATATCTTTAGCCACCAATATTTGCATGTCAGCTCTTCCTGCATAGCTCACCATGTGCATTGTGATTGCCTGCATTAATATGTAGCATGCATAGGCACAATTAGAGCCTGAAAGGGAGTATTGACATAACTGGTAAAGTTGAATACGTTAAGAAACTTACATGGGAGAGGGCAGTAGAAGTGACTCTAACAGACGATATGTGGTTCCCTCCGAAGGTGATATCCTCTGGAGGGCCGATCACATTTGAAATTGTGAATGTTGTATTGCTAACAATTCTGCAGTTGAGCAAGGTAGCTAACTACACACCACAAACACACAACAGTACAATAAGTAAAAAAAAAAAATACTTTTCTTAGTCTCATTTTGGATCATTGGTTCATGACTCGTTTATTAACTTGATTCATTTTGACATTTAACTTTATGACACCTCAAAATAGTAAATAGTAGTGTACCTTAGGACCAAAAATGGACATGATGAAGTCTCCAATTTTATAGGAGCAAGGACCCTCTAGTGATAACTTTTTCTTGTCTATCATTGCTTTAGCTCTCTTTACAAACTGCAATGGATCACTTCCTCCTTTGTGATAATAAACTGGTAACAGTAACATCCCAAATTTGTTACCCCACCGTGCTCCAGATTTGCTTTTCATCAACTCTGAAAAGTCCTGCAAAAATAACAATAATAAAATAAAATAAAATAAAAACGTTTGATATTATTACCGTCTAACAAAATTAAAATTTCACCTGTAATCCAGATTGTTTTCTTAAATTGATCATGGCAACTCCAGTCATCTGAAGCCCTTCTTTCAGAGCTGCAAATGAATTGAGTTAATTGACTGACTGCCCAACCATTATTATATCGAATGTGTGATTAAAGGAGTTGTTTTTTATATACCTTTGGGTGAACGCAGATCCAGGTACCTAGAGAGCCCACATGATATAACTCCAAAGAGGACATCGTTGATGGTCTACAAATAACAAAATTAAGAAATCAATTAAGCAGTTGCATATTTATTAGTACCAGTCAAATATGTTTGTCTACATTTACTTTCATCAAGGTTATAACTATTTCCTGTAAAACAAAATGTGAGATTCATTAAAGGTTATGAATTATTTTCAGTATATGAGTCGAGTCAAATAAAATAGAAAATATTTTCTACCACGAGATTGGTAAGTAGAGGGTGTTTGGATTGACTTAAAAGTTGGTCAAATCTACTTTTAAGTTCGTTTTTGACTTCTGAAGCGTCTGCTGACGTTCGCGCCTTTCATTTTCAACATTTAGAATTCTTTGATTAATTTGAGAAAGTCTTTCAGTGATAGCTGGATCCATATCTCCCTTTGCTTTGCCAAATAGAGAAAGAAGCTTCTATTTATAGGCGTTGGAGGCCCTTAACCCTTTCTTATTATTAGTAAGGAAGATAGGTTGTCTTGGTTCCACAAATATAAAAAATAACTTAAAATAAGTTTAAAATGACTTAAAATAAATTAGGAAGTGTTTGACAAGGTCAAAAATGACTTAAAATAAGTCAAAAACCTAAAGTAGGTCTCCTCTACTTTTTATTTTTTGACTTAAAAATCATTTATGTTTGATTTTTTATTGTTGACTTAAAAACTATTCTTTTTAAATCAATCCAAACGGGCTCGTAGTCTTTTTAATTTTTTCTTTTAATACATATGTATAATAAGGTGAGGTTGAGAACCATGACCGGTCCAATTTGGGGAATTTAATATCCATAATAATGTATTTATAATAATAATAAATAAATAAAAAAGAAACCAAAAAGAGAGTATAGGGCCACGTCATTTGATTGGGGTGATCTTTTGTGGTTATCAGCATATGACTTTTCCTCAAACTTGACTGCCATGAATCACAACTTGACAAGCAGTTTATATTTTGTAAAATATTTTGTCATTTTCTTATATTTGGAACGTATAAAATCAACTTGCTTTTAAAAAAAAAAGCATTTTCTAGGGTTGGGAAAAAAAGAAGAATAGGAAATCAACACGTTTCTCGTGAGGTAAGAACTATTAAGTTGACGTGAAATAGAATAGAATTACAAAAAGAAGAAATTAATACGTTACATTAAAATGAACGGAGAAGAAAAAAGAGGAAGAATCAATTCCTTATAAGTTATAAATGAAGGTTTGTTCTTTTATAAAATTCTATTGAATTGAGAAGGGGAAAAAAGGAAGGAAAGTAATTATAATTAATTCACACGTATCGTGTACAATGGCGAACTCATGATTTTTGCTCAGGGGTTCAAAGTATAAAGGAGAAGTTCAGGTGGTAATGCAAGTGTGCGGTGAGGGTAGTAGTCCCTCGGCATGCTCTTTGTACAACAACCATAGATATTTCATTGGTTCATAAAGTAAAAACTAAACTAATCAAAGATATCGAGGACAAAGATACATTCATAAGAATTTTAGTGGATCGACTGTATTACATAAGTTAACTCCTAAAACACGTGAAAATTAAATGATGAAAAAGGGAGCAAGACAGGAAAGAAAGATATTTACCTTATCATGCTAAATTTAACTTACTAATTTATCATACCATATTAATCATTTTTTTCTACTTTTATCCTACTCTATCGAACATTCTTAAAATTTCTTGTGCTTTTTATACTTTTATTTTGTAATGTTTTACTTTATTTTTCACTTTTTAAAAAATTTAAATTAGCATCCATTCAATCACATATTACTATGAAAATCGTCAAGATTCTCTAAAAGAGTGTAAAAATAGAGTTACTAATATTATAATGCATATTCAGAAGATAAATAAATAGCATCGTCAAATTTTTTTAGTTCATATAGTTCAATTAACTAGGTTAGTCATAATTTGTAAAAAAGACAAATAATGAATAAATCAAATATGTTTAGTTTCCATCTCTCTAAAATAAAATTAAAAATATAAAAGAAATTTCATGAATTCTATAAATTAATATTTTTGAAAGGATGTTGACGATATTTAAGTTTCTTCATTCAATTACATCTAATTTACCTTTTTAAAAATAAATAAATTATATTTCTATCTCAATTTCTAGTTAAATATAATTCATCATTTTAAAAAAAAGTTATTCAAGTTAATATATGAAAAAAGAGTTACGTTGAAACAAAATGAATAATAGATATAAAAATAAAAAGAATGTGTCTAATAAATTTAAACAAAAACAAATTAAAAAGAAGAAATGGAACAAAAGGAAAAAATAATGAAAAAGAAGAAGAAAGTCTAAGCCCAAAAGTTCCATTTTTCAAAGCATTTAAAGGAGGGCAAAAATGTTGTCCATGGTATTTGAATTCGTGACCTAGGGACATTTGTTGAACCACTTATCCACTGACCTAAGCCTATACTTTGTTTTCAGGGGTTCATTTTAATATATATATACGTATAAAAATAGAATTTAACATTATATATACAGTGTAATTTTTTTACGAGAAGGTTCGGGTGAACCCCTAAGGTCCACCTAGGTCCGCCCCTGATCGTGTAGTTCCTATGTCCTCAACATTCTAGGAACAAACATATGTATAATTTTTTTTATATTAATAGATCCTCAAAGAATATGTATAAGTAAACTTTCTTAAAATTTGGAATATGTCCTTTTAAAAGTAAGATATAACACTTGTTATAATAATTAAATGTACTTTGTAGTTTGTATATAATTTATTAAACTCATCATTTGTGTGATGAACTTATATTTGTGTTTGGTAGGGAGAATTTTTTAGAAATTCATTTTTAATGAAAAATAAACACTAGTATTGAAATAAAATTAATAAAAAAAGTCTAAAAATCAACCCCTCAATCTATCTTGACATTAATCCATTTTATGACAACCCTTTCTAACTTACTACCTGTAAGTGTACCAATTTATAGCACTTAATTACTCGATCTATACATAGATATAACTATACAAGTCCACTTGATCTAAGAAAGTACTCTAGTATAGTAACTCTTTTTCTGTTTTCTTCTCATCTTTCTAATTTTGGTAGACAATATTATTAGCATTTGTTGTTGGTGGTGGGAGATAATGAATATTTTGTGAAATTAATTAAAAATATGCATAATTAAGTGTATTTAAATACAATACTTTTTTTTAAAAAAACAATTAAAAAATCAACAAAATAGATTGGTCACATGAAATCGGTAATTCATTATTTAGTAATCAAATAAATTAAAGATATATATAATTATAAAAAAATAAATATATACTATGAGGTTTTGAACTATTAAATAAACTCTAAATCAATTTAAAATAAAAAATTCCAACCCCAACGGCATGCGATTAATTAGAGGTGTAGGAGAAATTAACTTACCGCATTATCGATGGCTTTTTTGACCGTCTTCATATCGTCAATCTTGAACTTAGCCGTCGCCAGTTTCCGCGGCCATAGCTCAACTCCAGCTCCGCCGCTTATGGCTGTCTTCTTATCCTTCAACCACAAACTCCTCAAACCAAACTCTGTAACATACACTACCGTATACCATATCACCATCACCAACTTCTTCAACAACCTCCATACATTCCGATTGTTTGATGAACTCGATGTCCCTACACCTGTCGAAAATATAATCAAGTAAAAAAATAATCTGATACAAATATTTCCAACCGTCAAATTTATTTCTGAGCTTTTAAATGAGATAGTCACAAAAGTAAGTACCTTGAGTTGTGGGGCGCTGATTAGGATCATCGGCTCTCCGGCAACAAGACATGAACATGGACATAAGTGAAATTCCATCACCAAGAGCATGATGAAGTCTCAAAACGGCCGAATTATGGGCTAAGAGAAGATGAAATTCCCAAAGAGGCTTCGTTAAACTAAGCGGAGTTGAAACAGAGAGATCCGCTAAGTAATCGTTAATAGCATCTTCATCGGAAATTAAAGGATCATCAGTGAGTGGTTGATGGCGAATAATGATGTGATCATCGACGTTGACTTCAGTTTTACGCCATCGTTCACGGCCACATGAGTCTTTGAGCATGATGCTCGAGAATCTGGGATGTTTAACCAATATGGAATTGCTTATTTCCAATTTGACGGCGTCAACGTCGATTGGATCGTCGAGGGAAACGGCGCAATTGATGATTTGGTCCATCCCCGGCTGGACGAATAATCGGCCGGCCGGCGTCAAAGGCTCGTCTCTCTCTGTCATGGTCATATTTTGTAACAGAGCACAACTGCCTAAACTTTAGCCTAAGTAACAAAACTCATTCCTTTAAATAGGCAAACCAATTTACTAATCTCACGGATTTGAATTCGAGAACGAAAAAAAACTTTTAACCTTTCATCACTTTTTAGTGGTCGGATAACACAAATAATTTTAAAGTTATAGTAACCAATAAATGTAATATTATAGTATTACTATTATATTCTGTTATATACATCAGTTAAATTTGAAGTTCTGTTATCGGATTCCAAATATATTCTCTTTATTGAAGCTGTTATTAATATCTTTTCATTATTCTAGAGTAAGTACTTCAGGTAGAACGTGAGATACAACAATAATTCTATATTTTATTTTGAAATTATTACTTTTATTTTATAAACACTAATTTAATAGCTTCTAAAAGTTGATTTTATCTCTATTTTAACCCCTTTAAATAAAAACTTCTGAAAACTCTACTTATCGAACGCGTACGGAATGAATTCGCTCCTATACAAGAAACTCTACCAAACAAATTCGATGTAATGGTCTCATGTTTGATAAAAATAATAATCAATGTTTAACCTTTCTTATGAAATATCACATGTACTATACTAATTCAACTACTTTTTGTGGATATTTTCTACCCAAATTAATTGGTGTACAAATGTGTGACCCAAGTTGTCCCCTTTTCTTAGTGGCGTCTTGCTTAGGTTGTTGTTTTTTTGGATCTGTCTGGATTATTTTCGTGAAATTATTTTATGTAATTCGATATTTTTCTTTCCTTGGGTAGCTCTAATGTTGACATCTATTTATGTTGAATGATATTCGTTAATTCATTTAATAGGCTATCAACCAGATTAAATGGGTTCATTATGCGCCGACTTCTCACAATAATTATGGTTATAATAATAATTTCTTCTTCATATTAAATAAATTGTCGAGGAGAAAATTATAGTTTAAAATGAGTAATTTGTTTTAGAGTTCATTAGAATGGTTCAGACTTTTATTTTTTTATTAATGAGATTCTTAATTACTTTATATTTTTTAGAAAAATAATTAAAAGAATAAAAGTGAAAAATAACTTTTAATTTATATTCTTAAATATATTTTTTAAGAATGAATTAGACCCCAATAGTTCACTTAATATGTATTAGGCGAATATTGTAATATGTAGTAGTATTAAATATTATTTTATTTATGTCAGTTGAATTTAATAGTTCACTTAATATGTATTAGGCGAATATTGTAATATGTAGTAGTATTAAATGTTATTTTATTTATGTCAGTTGAATTTAACGTTCACTCTACATGAAATTGTTTTGATTGTCGATATTAAGAGAAATACAAAAAAATGATTCTATCTCTTTTTAAACCCAAATTAATTGCACTAAAATTAAATATTCATTAATGTCTTGTCTTCATTGGGGGTCTTTTTTTTTTTTAGTTGAAAAAGAAGTGACTTGTGACTTAGGTTCTTGCTTTGATCTGTCTAGATGATTTTGTTGGGTAGCTAATATTTTTTTTTTCTAAGGGAATCAACAGTTTCTAGTTTTTAATATTCATAACATAAATTTCGTTGTAATATAATGTTCATAGATTACATATGGAAGGTAATTGTATTTAAAAAGTCCTGTGAATTGAGCTCGATTGAGAAAATATATAGAGAGTTTCAAATAAAAAAAATACAATATATAAGATCAACTGCTCAATCAACTGAATCGTCTAATTTTTATGCAATGATTATAAATGTAATTTGGGATATTTTTTTTTTCTTTCTACAAGGTAGCTAATGTTGACCATCTATGTATTTTCGTTGAACGATATTCATATATTCGAGATTTTTCAATGCATATGGCCGGCTTTTAGTTTTATTTTACTTCCATTGTGTTTTGATTGGTGGAAATATATATTGATTCAACCGTTGATTGAATCAACTAAATCAGGCTGACTCAGGCAAATGTCTCATTTTAGTTTACTATTTAGATTTTTCTTTTCCTTATTATTAAATCTTGTGCAAATATAATCTTTGAAACCAAAAAAATAATAGACTATTAAGTATTATCTATAATATAAAAATTTAAATCACGAGTTAACATTTTTCTCATAAGATTTTTACTTTGTTAAAAAAAAAAACTTCAGATCAATGATTCAAAAATTGCAGCACAAGAAACAAAGAAATAATCATCTAGTAAACATTTATCTTAAAAAGAAACAATCAGCCAAAAAATAAGAATAGAAGGGAGGAAATGACATATATATATATAACTGATAGTTATAATTAGCAATAAATAGCTCAACATTAATTAGTATTTAATAGACAAATAAAAAATAAACACAAAATGACCCAAATTAATAAATGACATTTTAATAGGTTTTTTTTATTTTCCTCGTATAACCAATATCACTAAACAACAAAAAGAACGGAAACATAAAAAAATTATATATACAATACGTAACCGCCTAAAAACGTAAATTATGTATTTTCATATATTTTTTTGTTCGTTACTTGATAAAAAAAATTCCAATTGTATACTTGATGATTGTATATAGGTAGAAGAACGGTGTATTCTTACACTTAGTATTAGTATACATTTATAGCTATGTTATCCCCTCCAGTGTATACATATTAAAAAATCAAACACTTTATGTATTCATTCACTTATAATATGTATACATTGCATTGAAGATTTTTTTTTAATCGTGAACATCATGTATGCATTACATTCATGTATACATATCCTTGTATTCATTCTCTCAAAATTTGAATACATTCCAAAATCTTTCTTCAGTAAATGAGGATTGCACATGAAATTTAAAATGCTCAATAGCAAAGACACAAGTCGAAGCGGATAACAAGAAGAACTTACATGGCTATAAAATTTAGAGTTATGGATGGAGAATCCACAAAATTAGAATCAAAATCTCCATTTTTATGAATAATCCTAGGATAACTTTCTCAAACATGACAATTGATACCCACAAATAATTACTATTATGTAAATTTTTGCCTAAATTAGATATAACCTTCAATTTAAAAAATTAAAACCCCAAAAAAAATTGAATGACAATACAATAGGGGATCAAACATAGGGTAACAATTAGAGAAATTTACGGGTAGACATCAACAAACCATCAAGAATTTAAAAGTGAAAGAGAAAAAATAGACACTATGGGCAAATATTTTTATAGAATTCAATATGTAAAACTAATAAACAAGAAATTAAATCATCTTTTATTTAAAGTAATGAAGAAGAAGAATTGAATAAATATTTACATAATCAATAAAAAAACACCATTCAAAAGAATCGTGTGTGTGTATGGGAAAGAAGAGAAAAAAAACCACTTTTCAATAAAAAAGGACATCATGCTGCCACCTCCTAAAATTATTTAATTTAATAAAAAAAAAAATCCCAATACGTGGGCAATTTATTGTAAAATTTAATTTTTAAAAACCATTTTTTGTCTAGAAAATAAAATACGGCTATATGTTGCCAATTAGTAAAGTATAAATTTTAGGATTCACATAGTTTTAATAGAAATTACAATTTATCCCTATTTAATTTTTAATTACATTAATCCGTGAAAAATGGGATGTCATGCTATCGAAGGCCTATTAATGACTAGCGAAGACCAGTGGTCCAGACAATAGCTAAAATTGGGCCTAGGCATCAGATGAGATTAATTGGGCTCAGTTAAAAGCATTTGCGTAAATTTGGGCCTTGGAATCTGGGCTCTGCAATTACCTGCCGAAAAGGTTAATTAGAAGGGAAAATTGTATGAAATAACAAACTATTAATTCAAATTAAATGTTATAGCCATAGTTAATTATATTTGTAATTCGCAGCAAACATCCCATTTTTTGTCATCTGATTCGGTATACAATTAGTCATTTCGGTATAAAATGTATAAAATGTGTTTGTGTTTGTATAAAGTGAGAGAAAAGTGTATATACAAATACAAATACATATATTTTCGTCATAGATACACTTATAATTATACAAATATAGATATTATCATACAAATTACAATATATAAATGAATTTATACAAAACTGAACAATTTGTATAAAATTTAATGTATCTAGCGAACCATACAAATCAAAAGCTCCATAGCAAACATAAAATTTGCTATAGAGCGCAATTATGCAAACTATAGCTATAACATACAAATATGATTTTTATGTTTGCTATCTGTGAAAATTGCTCTAATTAGAACGCCATTAAAAAGCTTATGTCTAGTTAGACTTAAGTTAGATTTTTGAGAACAAAATTAAACCAATCCATTTGAAGGGCAATATCGTGCAATGAAATAATTTGAATGGGATAAAGTTGGTGTTATATTAACGAGTGAATGTTTTTTGATTCAAGTCTTCAGTCAAGAAGTTATTTTAAAGTAATATGTGTTGCGTGCAGAGAGACTAACGGAAGCGGCTCCTCTCCAGTACCCTTTTTCTTATTGCATTCCTTTCCAAAAATGTCCCTTTGAATCATTATCCACTTGCATCTTCAGTTTGTATTATTGAAGATACTAAAGAAAAAAACTCTTTAAAATAGAGAAATAGTACTTGTAAAACTTTTTTTTTCTTTTATTAATCCTTATACGATACAAATTTTAAATTGATCAAATTAAGGACGGTAAATTTATATCGAGTGATTAAAAAAAACTATATTTATACATGATAAATAAAATAAATATCATTTAATAAAGAAAATATTTACTCAAGTAATATATAAAATAAAATCTTAATATTTCTTACAATTTCAGAAATACAATATTCGAAATACAAATATTATTTTAGTAATAGAGATATTTATGACATGCACATATTATAATTCACAAAACAAACGAGGGGAAAAAAATAGAATAATCAGCTGATACGGCGGCACAGGGTAATTCCATCACCAACCGGAAGCATACAAATCTCAATCCTTGGATCAGCCGCTAAAGCTTTGTTAAGTTCCAATACAAAGTCTCTATAATACCTAACATATTTCCTCAATGGAGCATCAGGTGGAGCGACCACTGAACCATTCCATAGGGTGTTGTCGTACCCGATCACACCACCAACTTTCACTAATTCTATTATCCTTTTGTGGTAGTTGATGTAGTTATCCTTGTCAGCATCCACGAAAATGAAATCATACGTGCCATGGTTATTTTTCTGCAAAATAAAAAATAAAAAATAAAAACATATTAGTTTAAGTTGATTAATTTTATTTTATTATCGTTTAGGTAATCTGATAACACGTACGTCTTCAACTAATAGATCAAGAACGGGTAAAGCAGGTCCCTCTCGAAAATCAATCTTGTGAGCTACACCAGCTTTTTGGATTATGGGTAAACCAATTTCTTCGTAATTTTCCTTGTTAATATCCATTGCCAATATCTGCAAAAGCAAATACAAATGTTTTATTAATTAAAATGGCGTGCCCGACTAATACAATCAGTAAAATTCTATAATTTTTCGAATTATATATTTATATAATGTTACTTGTTCAAATTGAAGTGATTACTGATTAATTACTAGCGTTTGATTAGACAAATTCAGTAATTTTAGTTTAATGCAACTCCAATTTGAGTTAAATACTCCCATTATTATAAAGGATGAAATCATGAAATTAAAGTAAAATTATCAAAAGTTGAATGGTTTTGTGCTTAAAGTCAATCCAATTGTCCTTTTTTTTTTCTTTTTCTTTATCCCTCCCTAAGAGCTCCCACCCCTTTTGCTCCCTTGGTGACTCGAACTCGCAACCTTCGAGTTGGAAGTGAGGAATGCTTACCATCCGAGCAACTCCCTCTCGTCGATCCAATTGTCCTTATTTTCTTGTTGGTGTGGATTTTTTTTTTCTCCTTTTTGTTTTTTATAGGGCAAGTTAGTGGAAATTTATACTTTTTGGCTAAGATTAGGTGCATCTACATTTCTATAACTTTAATATTTGATATTATTATTTAAAAAACAGAAATTAGCGATGAATGAATTTTATAGTTAAATATTAAAATTCGTCACTTATAATATACTATAAGATTAGCGATGAATTATTTAAAAAATTGATTAGCTACGAGCGATTTAGTGATGGATTAAAATGCATGTGTTACCTTTCCATCATGTGGAAGAGCAAGAGCAGTAGCAAGAAGAGAATAGCCAGTGTAGACACCAATCTCCATGGTGTTTTTAGCATTGATCAACTTCAACAACATGTTCAAAAATTGTCCTTCATCAGCAGATGTTGTCATAAGATTCCTGTTTCACACAAATATCCATATATAATTCAGTCAAAAAGGAAAACAAATTTTTAATCTCTTCATTAACAATTAATTAGATATATAATGAACTCACCATGGATGCTTAGCAGTCAATTCTCTAAGCTCTTTCATGGGTTCTGGCTCTCTTGGGTATACGCTCGTCTCCAATATGTACTGTAACATGTTCAGCCACAAATAACACATGATGTCAAATCCAATTTTAATTTGCTAGGTTCAATTCAACGAATAAAATTAGTTTCTACGTCGTACTAAAGAAATCTGTTATACCTGGTAAAGAGCATCACTTTGCAAAAGACTCTTGTGGCCAACCTCTTGGTGTTTAGAGACTTGATTTTCCTGTGATGCAACATTTTCAGCCATGTTATTTTTTGTTGAATTATTTCTTTTTCCTCTTTTTTTTCTTCTTCTTTTAGTTTGTGATTTAGAAAGTAATGAAATGGGAATATATAATGTGTGAGGCAATTTGGTTCACAAGGTAAGACTTGCATGAACATATTAGGCCCACCAACTAACAAAAAATTTGGTGAGATTCCTTCTTGCTGTGTTTTTGTTATTTTATGTTACATGTGGGACCCATGGAGGTTGTTGCAACAAAGTCTCAACCACTCGAATAAAAATACTTAATAACGTCAGATAACGTCATGATTAACTGTTTAGATTTGTGACAGGTGTCCTGTTAATAATTTTACTAACAAATACTTCCTACGTTTCAAATAGAACTTTTTAGTCCGTTAAAAAAGAATGATTTTTTTTTTTGGTAATATTTTAATTTTAGTTTTTCACGTTATATGTTTAATTGTACATTTGACATAACTTTAATTTAGGACCACAAGATTCAAAAATCTTCTTTAATTTCTTAAATTCTGTGTCAAGTCAAACTAGATCATTCTTTGTGAAACGAAGAGAGTATTCATTTCCAAATATATTTAAAACTTGCCTAAAAAAAAACGAAAAATAAAAATATTCATTTTGGTTGTTGATAAATTTATATGCTTTTTTCATGTTTATCCTACGTTATAAAAATGGTGAGTTCATAACTTAAATTCAGTTTCGGTTACTTGGTAAATATATTATTACTATATTATAGTGGAGACGATGATTTCGTATTAAAGTTAGAGAGAGTATCTTTTTTTTTTTTCTAACATAAAGGTATTTATTTTTATATAATAAATATTAGGGCAAACCACATAAATCCCACTAGTTTAGGTCTTAATTATTAAGATTCTCAATAATTTCAAATATTACTTCATGTACCATATCTTAGGATACATGAGTCTGAATCCATGAGATACATGCAGTATCTGCCAAATTTTAAAATTGAGATACAAAATTTATTTATTTAAATTAATTGGTTGGAACTGATTTCCTTAATTAGAGGAGTAATTGAGGATTTTCAAAATACATAGATAATTAATTTCATTTTATTATTCTTTGAAATAGTAAATTCATTAATATTATTAATTTAAGATAAAAACATGTATATCTTGGTAATGCAATTTGATTAATTTCAAATTATTACTCTTAAAATAATACATTCATTAATTTGATGTATCTATATCAATATATGATGTATCCAACAAACTAAACACTTAGATACACGAGTGTCCTGCAAGTACATTCATATGTATCATAGAAGTATCTAGCATTAATTTCATGTATTTGTTATAGGTATCTAGTATTAATTTTATGTATCTATTTATATATATATATATATAATATTGATTTCATGTATCTTTTATATGTATCTAGTACTAATTTGATGTATCAAGTATCAATTGCATATGTTATATCCAAAAACATGTATCTCGAATGCATAGTAAGCATATACATCTATACTACATTAAAAACATGAACTCCAAAAGAGCAATGTTAAATTACGTAAATACCCCTCACTTAAAACTTAAGAAGATTACGCAAATACCCCTCACATAAAACTTATAAAGATTACGCAAATACCCTTAAATTTTAAAAAAAAAAACCTAACTACGCATCCCTCCCGCAACAAACACCTTGCCTAGCCTACGAATAGACACCACTTTCCCTGGACAGACTCCACGCTTTCACTGGAAAGACACCAACTTTCCCCTGCAACTGCCCAACGTCTAAAAAATTACCAATCAACACAACCTCTGGAGATTTCTCTAATTATATCAGCCACCGGCACAACACCGTTTCCCAATAATAATTCAACTTGTGCATAAGACGCAAAGGTATGCCATTTTTCCTCTTCTGAAACAAGCCAAATTTTAAAAAACTCAAGTCTCACATATGCACTTTCTAATTAAATTAGGTGAATATTGATCATCCATCTGCAACCACATTACAATATTGGACTTGTCTTTTAAATATTTCACTCCGCATCAAAAGTTGTAAGTTTTCACTCTGTTTAAGTTTCCTGTTATGCTTTTCATTGGACTACTTGCAGCACATACATTGCTACAACATACTTACTTATTCCTTTGTTTTAACTACTACACACTGCGGCCTTGAATTACTATTGATATTCACTTTCCGCTATGCACCTCTAACCATCCAGATTCATCACAAATGGCCACCGAAACTGAACTATCAAAGCAGTGTGTCCCCATCAACAAGATACCAAAACACTCTGTTGATTGGGTGATGCGAGTATTAGTTATTCGCAAGGGTTCTGTAATTTCGTACAGCAATACTCGCCATGAAGGGACTTTCCAAACTGTAATATTAGTGGACGATGAGGTAACACTTTTGCTCAGCTTATATGTTATCGTTCCTATTTATTCCCGTTTTACTTCTCTAATGACATCACATATCGCTTACATCAATACTAGGGGACAAAGTTGCAAGCAACGCTATTTAACAAGCATATCGACACATGGAAAGACTTCTTGAAGACAAATAAGACGTACTACATTGCTAACGGGTTGTTGGATCGGGTTAATCCCAACTACACTTCCGTGCACAAAGAGATTGAACTGACCATTACAGATAACACAATCATAAGGGAGAGCGACCATGTTGTTTCAACACACAACTTCTCTAATGGTTTTGTATCTTTGGAACAGGCAGAGAAATTGCCTAATGGTGCCATATTTGGTAACTCTTCATACGACTTGTTAATAATTTTTGTCAATTACATCATACAGATCACTAATTTATATGTCCGCTATTCAGACTTGCTTTGCGTGTTAGTTACGGTGAATCCCATCATTGAAAAAGGCGATAGAAAAAGACGCGAAATTGTTGTTACAAATGAACTGTAAGTTGCCCTTCTTTGTTCTCCACTGTCCATAATAATCTGGCAGTGCACTGACAGTACTTATCTAATTCATAATCCAGCATGGACTGTACGACTGTTACTCTGTGGGGAGATTTTGCACTAAACGACGGCGCCTTTCTTGAAAAGCTTAAAGATGACCAACCTATTCTAGGCTTATGTGACGTGCGAGTCTCAATCTATAAAGGTATAGACAACCTCTCCTATTTGCTGATTGTACAAATTTCAAGTATATTTGCTAATTTCTTGAATAAATATGTTGATTCCAATGTAGGGATTTTTGGGATATCAACTCTTCCCGTGAGCAGTGTGTTGATCAATCCAATCTTTCAAAAAGCACTAGATCTTCGCGCATGGTACAAAACCTCATTAACTAATATGCTCGACAATTTTTATTTACCGTTACTTCCACAACTTATGTTCAAACAAGAATTTAACAACATAGCCACAATTTGTTTATAGGGAGAACTATATACAACCATGCCTATCAAGTTAAATTTTAATCTAACAAATTTTAAACCCACAAACATTTCCTCAATTATGTGCTACAATTAACTCACCTCTTTCGATATACAGGCGTGAAGTCATAAAGGCCGAAAAGAAAGCTATCACAACCACACCAAGTAAGGTAATGAGAAAAGCCACAGAAGTGACATTACCCAATATTATGGATGGCACGCTTGCTGATACACAGGTACCTCCAAAACGACACTTTACCTATCCAAACAGGACCATTGTTTACCAAAAATAATGTTGTATATTGGCTATTAACAATGTCCAGGGAGCTTTATACAAGTTCAAAGCCAAAATTATAGACATACTCAATACAGATGAACCATGGTACTCGTCCTGCAAAAAGTGCCACAAGAAAGTGCAAGTTAAACAACATACAACGACATGTCCCAATTGCAACATCCAGAATGTGGAGTATGAAATGAGGTTAGACTTGCCTAAAATAAGCAATCAACATTTTATGATAATATACAACCAGTTTAACTATGAACTCTAACTTATTCACCTTATTTTAAAGATACTACTTACGGCTTGAAGTTTGTGCTGGAGAACAACGTGCTCGGGTTATACTATTTGATGCGGCACAAATGTTAGTAGGTTGCAATGTCGAAGAGTACATCAAAACAACCTCGGAAAATGTATGCCTTGTACTTCTAACATCTTACACCATATTTCAACGTACTTTAATCCCAACAATAAATAAGTGTATGACTAACTTTCAGAACTATTTTTATGCTAATATATCCAATTGTTGACATTTCTTACAGAAGGAAGAATGTATGTACTACCACAGATTGGTGTTGATTAAAGACAAGGAATTCAACTTCCTTGTCCGCATCGATATGAATAATTCAAACCCGCGAAGGAGTCTAATTGCTCAGGAAATACATGCCATTGAAGATGAAGCGGTAATTATAATGTCAGATGAATCAAAATCACTAACACCACCCACAAACAGGGGCAAGAAATCCACTGCGTTAGAAAGACATGTTCTTGAAGATAAATCACCAATCATAGTGGAAGAACCACAAAATGTGAGGCCGCGAAGGAAGAGGTCTAACAAATCCAATGCGCTACATGTCCTTGAAGATGAAGCACCAAACATAGTGGCGGAAGTACAATCCGTAAGGCTGCGAACAAAGAGGGGCAAGAAATCCAATATGCAACAAATACATGTTGTTGGAGAAGAATCACCAAACATAGTGGAAGAAGTACGATCCGTTATGCCAACAACAAGCACGAGCAAGAAAATCAACAATGAACATCTCCAAATTAAAACTAAGTTCACAAAAGTCGAGTCATAATAGATGACTTCGTTGATAGTGTTACCGAGCATAATGTATGTATGTTAGTAATGTCTGTATTTTAATGGCTTCATCGGCTGCTTTAACTAATATATATATATATATATATATATATATGTTTATTATTACCTAATTAAGTGTGAATTATGCAAATAATAGCACCTTAATAATTCAAATCTAAATCGCTTAGGCTGTTGTTTATAATATCCTATCTACCCCCCCCCCTCTCTCCACCCATAAAATAACGTATATTCATCACCTTTAAAACGATTAAACCATTGAATAAAAATACTCAATTAACCAACCATAAAGTAGTATTACTTAG